GAACAGGGAGGCCGGGGTGGGTGGAGCAGACGGTGGAGCGCGTTAGAGCGAGCGCAGCGCCGCGTGCTGAGCCTGCCGTGCCCATACCGACAATATAATGAAACACGCCGGTCGCCCGCTCTGCGCTGTAGATAGCAAGGAGAGGGGAAGGAGGGGGGCTTTTCCTTCGGGTAGAGACAGTCATATATACCTTTGTTATATACCTATACTTGTCTATAAATATATCAGTCACATATAGCTGAATAATCATTCATTCCTTATTTAGCTACTGTCTAGCTACGTAAGCTAATATGCGCCGTCTTGCTGTTCGCAGGCCCCGCCCGCGCCGCGCCTGGACCACGAAGGACGTGAGCGACGCCCAGCCGTTTCTCACGGGCTTTCGCATCGAGCAGGCGACGCACGGCGTCTTCAACGCCGAGGACGGCGTCCCCGAGGTGATGGTCGGCTCCGAGGTGACGCTCCGCCTCTTCGGCTCGGGCTTCCGCACCGACGCCGAGCTGGGCGTCACGTACACCGAGTCCGAGCAGGGCGAGGACTGCAGGGACTTCTACCCGGGCTCGCAGTACTTCAAGGTGGGTGTCGATGGCGGCGGCGGCGGCTGCGGCGCCCGGTTTGTGTCCCCCACAGCGCGCGCGTGGCGCGGGGCGCGGTGGAGCGCCTGGCGAGCAGGCCGGCCCGCCCGGCACGGCTGTGCGGCGGGCTGGCCCACCCCGTGCTCGCAGGGGCCTTCCTCCTGCTCCTAAGCGGCCGGCGCACCCGGCTCTGCCCCCCACCCCGTCCTTTCTCTTTGTTTACCAAGTGCTCGGGACGCGCCAGCACGCCTCGACGCGAACCTCCTCGACGCGAACCTCCTCGACGCGAACCTCCTCGACGCGAACCTCCTCGACGTGAACCTCCTCGACGTGAACCTCCTCGACGTGAACCTCCTCGACGTGAACTCACTGGTTGTTGTTTATCCCCGTTCCACACTCGCTTCGCAACGTCGAAGCGTTTGGCAGGCTTGAGAGGACTGTGTCTCATCAGCGTTGCCATATACTTGGGAGACCTTGAAACTTGAAAAACTCAATATGAACTGGGGTAATAATTTTGAAAGCGGTCTGGAGCAGGAAAAAGTCGAGGATAATGAGGGTCAGAAATCTAACTTCAGGCAGTGTTGGTTTGGTCATTTCTTGTCCAGAGAACTCTACACAAAGCGACTCAAAGTTTTTTAAAATGGAGGAAATTTGAAACAAGGAGGAAAGAAAACACAAAATTAATTTTGTGTGAATACTGGTACTCGTTCTTTACAGAGACCCTTTCAGTGCTCAGTTGCTTTACATCTATATGGTTGTAGAATCAACGAGTGTTGTTCTGTCAACATGTGTCACGTTTCTCTGAG